TCATAATTCGAAGCCAACCCATTATATTCCTCTAATAGCTCATCATAGGATAAATCATCAAAATCAGATGAGTTAGAGGTTACCTTAGAATCTTCCCCGAATTCCATCAAGCACAAGTTTGCTACTTCTTGTTCCTCTTCATCGGAACCTTCTTCATCGCTCCATGTAGCCACATGAGCCTTGTGCTTATTCTTTGATTGACCTTTTCTCTTTAATTATGGGCAATCATATTTGACATGCCCTGGCTTTTTGCATTCATAGCAAATGATCGGGTCCTTCTCTTTTGGTTCATTTTTTAGGCCTTCATTTCGTTTGAATTTTCTCCCTCGGTAAGTTCTCATCATTTTTCTGAACCTTTGGCAAACAATGTCATTTCCTCGTCATCTTCATCCGAATCACTCTCATCTTTAGTGGATTTGAGAGCAACTCTAATGTTTTTCTTCTTCTCCTTGTCCTTTGGTGTCTCTTCAATCTTATCAAGTTCCACCTCATCTTCAAGCATCATTTCATGAGTGAGGAGTGAACCGATTAGCTCTTCAAGAGTTAAGGACGTTAGGTCCTTAGACTCGATGATTGTCGTCTTCTTTGATTGCCATGATTTTGGAAGAGAGTAGACTAACTTCCTCACAAGCTTTTCATTTGAAATGATCTCTCCATATGATTTGAGACCATTGACAATCGTTGAGAATCTATCCGTCATAGCTTTGATATCTTCATTTGGTTTCATCCTGAAATTTTCATAGCTATGCGCTAGAATACTAATTTTAGATTTCTTTACCTCGCCAGTACCTTCATGAGTAACTTGAAGTTTCTCCTATATTTCTTGGCGGTTGTACAAGATGAAACTCTTCCGTATTCATCTGGTCCAAGAGCACAAAATATAATATGGATGGCTTTGGAGTTGAGCTGGAACATTTTTGTCTCTCCTTCACTACACAATCTTGGATGAGTGAGAGGCTTGATGTATCCTTCTTCTACGACATTCCATGCTCCCATGTCACTTGCTTGAATGAAGTACATCATCCTATTTTTCCAATAGGCATAGTTAGCCCCATTTAAGAAAGGAGGCTTGTTGACGGGCATCGAATCGAGACCGGAGTCGAAGTTTGAAGCGGAGGCCATTGATGACTTTGAGTATCGATATAACTCTTCCCGAATCGACTCAAGAGGTGATTAAACCTTCAAATGATTTAGGCTCTGATGCCAATTATTGAGTTAATCGATTGATGGAATTGGCCAAGAGGGGGTGAATTGGCAATTAAAATTTTGTGGAAGCTTTTGCAGAAAATTGAAAGTAATTGCACAGCGATTTAGAGTGGTTCGACTTTATCAACCAAAGTCTACGTCCACTACCTTAGCTATCCACACTAAGGATTTTCCAACAAATTCACTAATTTGTTCTTTTTTTTAGGCCAAAGAGATAACCTTACAACACCCTCAAGAATATACCTCAATTCTTGAGAACACTCTTTTCTCAAAGAGAAGATTACAAAATTGCAAACTTACAAGAAAAACCTCACAAGGCAAATATGTTTGCACAATTCTAGAACAAAGAAAGAACACTCAAGAATAAATACAATTGAGCACAATAAGTGTTCTTGAAAGCAAAATGAATATTGAATGAAAAATAGGCTTGAAATGCTCAAACTTGAGGTTTGATGCTTTCTCTTTGATTCTCTCTTGATTCTAGTTGCTTGATGTTTCTTGTTTTTGATCAATGGCTTCTAAGCTTGCTTAAATATACCTTGAATCACTTCTGAACGTTGGGGATCATTAATGAAGTTTTTGGAGCCGTTTAAGTGTGAAAACAATTAATATTTCTACTTGGAGCGTGGGGGGAATCGGTACCCCTAATGGAGAATCAGTTCCCTAGGTGTAAAATTCAAATATTTTGACAGTTGAACAGTGGGGGGAATCGGTACCCCCTGGGGGAATTGGTTCCCTCCGAGCATACTGGAATTCTCGGAGCCAAACCATTCAGGGGGGAATCGGTATCCCCTTGGGGGGGAATCGGTTCCCTCTGAGTAATCTAGAATTTTTGGCTTTGAAATTGTTCGAAATATTTTGTAAAATCGTTTTGAAATTTTTTTAAGATTAAAACTTAATTTTACACTTGAGTAAGGATTTAAAATGAACTTTGAAATACTTTGAGTAATATTTTGATATTTAATATATCGAATATGCTTAGAAAAATTATTTTCAAAATTAAAATTCTTTTAATTTAATTTGTTATATCGAAACATCAAAATGTTTTCAACACGCACCATCGTATTCCTTGTGTCGTTTCGAGTCCGTCGGTGTCATCCCTGGTCTCCATCGATAGCGACGCATGAGGAGGTGAGGCGGTCAAAGTTTCCGATTTGTTGAAATCGAGCTCTCTGTCGTTCAAAAATTTGAACCGAGCTATGTAAGTACCTCGAAATCGCTCAAAATAATTTTTAGAAATTTTTGTGTGATTTTTACGATGTTGAAGGATGTCCCACGCGCCCCCACTGCACGTGGGGAAGATTTAAGAAACCGATTTGACTGGTTTTTAACCAGTTTGACCGGTTACAACTCGACCCGACCCGTTGACCCGACCCGACCCGTTGACCGTTGACCGGGTGATATTTTAGTTATTATTTTTAAAATGGTGATATTTTGGTAATTATTTTAAAAATGGTGTTATTTTCATAATTATTAAAAAAAGTGATATTTTTGTAATTATTTTAAAAGGGTGATAGTTTCATAATTATTTTAAAAAGGGTGCTATTTTTTAAATATTTCTTAAAAGGGTGATAATTGTGTAAAATGGTTGATCATCTGTTGACCACCTTTGACCAGAACTTTTACCGGCTATTAAACGGTCGTTAATCTTTTATGAGTATACTTATCCTGACATTCTTCGATGTTCCGAATCCGTTTTTGGGGTCCGTTTCACCAAATTCGAACCCAAAAGTCTCCAAATTGTCAGTCAAACTCGTTGACTTTGATTTTGACCAAGTATTCAAACTACCAGAATGTCATACTTTATGTTTTTCGACGTCCAGAATCTGATTCCGAAGTCCGTTTTGCCAAATTCTAACCCGAAATTCCCAAATCGAGCATGTGAACCCAAAAGGCTTAGTATTTTAACATTTTTGATTATTTATTTTAGATATGGTTGTGGAATTGATTCAGTAAGATATTTTATGAAGGTACTCGTGTTTCACCTGAGCGAGGATCAATTATGTCCGGTGTTGTCCATTCGTTAGATTAGCCCGAACCGCGTACTACGAGAATTACCCGTAGGTTTCCGTATATTATTTAAATAAAGATTTATATTATTTATATTATGATTTCAATATGGACTTTTCCAATTCGTAGGATCTAGCGCTGCAGCAGAGCGTGATCGACAGACTCAGTAGTAGGCTTTCCTATCGGATTTCTCAGACTGTTACAGGTGTGTTTCCTGACGGTGTTACATTACTATTTTAAAGTATATATATATATATATATATATATATATATATATATATATATATATATATATATATATATATATATATATATATATGAATATTGTATATATGATATCTGATTTACCGCATATTTCTGATATGAGTTCTGGTTACGGTATTTTATACCAATTTTTGAATACTGATTACCCAGCATCTGAATTACCATGCATTACTGATTTGATTTTTATTTATGTATTTATGCTTATAGTTTTCAAGCTTGAAACATTTTTATGTTTTTAAAGAATTATTCATTGTTTTACTTAAATACATTCATGTTCATTACTATCATTGGGGGAAATATTGTTGGAGGAAGATTATCTGCAGGCTCCTCGGCTGTGTGCTCAGGGCCTTACTGGTTGTGCGGGGTGTATGGTTCTGGGGAACCTACACAAACAGATTGTGAAAGGATAGGGGTAGTGTTCATGTTTTCAAAACATGTTGCATAAACAAATTTTATTGAAATATTTTATTAGTATATTTTTATACGTTGTATGGAGCACACTAGGCTTTTTAGCTCATTCTGTAATTTTAACCTTTTTCAGATAACAACATATAGAAAGCTGGCAGATTTGGCATCAGGGGAGATCAACTACTTTATTTTGTACGAACGTATATCTCTATATGTTTTTCAGTTGTATTTGGTGACATGTATTTTTCTATAATTTTGGATATATTTGTATTATCGATATTTTGTTCCGTATTATCTCTAATGTTTTATAAGTTGTTTAAAAAAAACTCTGGATGGGATATGTGACCACTTAGGTTTGGGTCTAATTTACAGACCGGGTCTGGGGGGTTACAAGGAATCCTGGTTTGGGAATCATGTTGAAGGCCAAGGAAATCAGTGACAGATTTTTGCATTAAGTTAGGAGAATCATTGGTTTCATGAAAATCTAAAAAACATAACACTATTGCAAGATCTTCAGCAGAAGCTGAATATAGGAGTATGGCCATAACAACTTCAGAGCTTGTTTGGCTGAAAGGGTTGTTAAAGGAGCTTGGAATCAACAATGATCAACCAACAAAGATTTATAGTGACAGCAAGGCTGCTTTGCAGATTGCAGCTAATCCAGTGTTTCATGAGAGGACAAAGCACATAGAGATAGATTGTCATTTTATAAGGGAGAAGATTCAAAATGGATTAATTCAGACAGAGTTTGTTCCAACCTCAGAACAACAAGCAAACATTTTAACAAAGGCGCTTGGAGTTTCACAGCATGAATACTTGTTATCCAAGTTGGGAGTAAAAGATGTTTTTTACAACCCAACTTGAGGGGGAGTGTTGAGTGAAGTTAGTTAAATGCTGTTGTATAGTTAGCAATTAGTTAGAGGTTAGTTAGAAGCAATTACCTTAGTGTAAAACTATATATGTAATTTGTGTACATTGAATAATAAGATTGTAACAGAAGCTTCTTAACAGTTACTCGGATTCGAGTGAGTGTCAGATACAAATATGCGATAACACGGACTAAAAAAACAAGATAATTTAAAGGAAAATGCATAAATGGTGCCAATATATACCAGTTTCTCTTATCATTGTTTCATCAATATTGCATCCAAAGTGGTTCCAGCTGTTCCAACTGCATTCAAAAAGGAAAAATCTCAGGAGAAAAAACATAATCAAAGTTCAATCTTAAAACAGAGTTACTGTCATGTCTAATATCAGTATGGACCAGACATGTTTACCATCTTTGAAGAACTTTACAAATACATAAAAATCTTCGGAAAAACTAAGGTTTTTTAAATCTGCGTTTTAAGTTTTAACCTCCATCGAGGAGTGAAAAAGAATTAAGAAAAGAAAACCAAAGCATACCCCATGGGAGGAGTCATTCCAAGACCATTAGTCAGCATGTTTCTTCTGCTTGTTGCTACTGTCAGAGGCGCCAACTCCATTATCACCGCCATTATCGTCGCTAGTAGTGCCACCACCGCACAGCGTCGCTTCCCCATCTCCGCCGCAGCTTTTACAACTGTTTATGGTAAAAACAAAAAGAACAGTGATTTCTCTGGGTTTGTATGATGTATTTGTAGAGGATGAAAGAGAGGATAAAAACGTGATGGGGACTGAAAGTTTTGTATTTTTTTCACGGCTACATGCAATCTTTTATAATTCGAGATTGCCCTTTGTCTATTTATTATATTAATTAATCGGATTAAGATTGCTTGTAAAACAAATAATTGGATTATCATTTGATTAAATGCTGGTTAATTCCAATTTATTGGAAATAATTGATAGATTATCTAAATCGATACATTTGACATGCCATAATTTCAATTATATCCTTTTATTTAGGCTTAATACAAAAATAAGTGTCTAAATTGTAACTCAAATTAACTTTTTATGTTTAAAGAAATGTTCACTAAAAATAAGTGTCTAACGTTTCCAACGTAACTTTTAAGTGTTTGGATCATAACGGCCGTTAAATTATATCGTTAAAGATCACGTTTCATGTTTTGGTAATTTTAAAAATTTTATTTAAAATCTAAAAATTAAAATTATATTTTAAAAAACCACAAAACTTTGAAAAATCCAATTTCAATCCCTAAACCTACTGTGGTCATCACCGTTTGACGTTGATCAGACTACCACCATAATCTACACTCAACGACAAGTCAAACCTGAAAACGACACGTCTCCAACGAAGGAAACGACAAAATTGCGACCCAACGACGCGCACCCCAAATTCGCGACACCTAGGCGATCCAATGACGAACGTGACTGCAAGGGAGACGACTTTCTTCTAGGGAGATGTCAAGGGCGGTAGCTCCAACAGCGATCGTGGTCGGTAAAGGAGGTTAGGGTTAGGAATTTGAGATTTTTTTTTTGTAATTTTAGGGAAAAATTGTAAATATAATAACTTTATAATTTTTAAATTTTTTTAAAAAAATTACCAGGTAGCCACCATTTTTTTTACTTTTTTTCAAAAAAATGTTTTTATTATTAAAAATAAAAAAAATATAACACACGATTAAAAATATAATAAAGAAAACGTTAAACACATATTTTTAATGAAAAATTCTTTAAGCACCAAAAGTTAATTTAAAATATAGTTTAGGCACTTAAAATTGTATTAAGACTTTTATTTATAATGAGAATCATTAATTAATATTGTTAAAACTAATTTTGGCGAAGGCTTGTATTTAAATCTCCAACCTCTCATGCAGTAAAAGTACATTAAAGATCACATCTTTAATGAAATACATATGTTTATTAGTTAATTCTTTATTCAATGCTTAATTAATATCAAAATAAAATAATTTATATTTCATTTAGTAATTAAATAAATAAAAGTACATCAAAGGTCACTAAATTATGTTCAAAAAATTATTTAAGTCATTTAATTTTTAGAAATTATAAAATGAATATTAAATTTATCAAAAATAAATAAAATAATCATTAGATTTTATCAAACTCATAAAATTATTAATAACTTTATCAAAATATTATTAAATTATTATTAAATTTATCAAACTTTTACCCTTATTATAAAAAAATTTCTAGGATAATTAATTTTTAAAAAAAACGTTGACCCAATTAGCCACTGAGAACAATCAATTTAGGGTTTTCTAATTTCATGCTTCTTCCGACAAAATTCTGAAAATTCATTCATAAACTCAAAAGTTTCAAACAACAAGACCCAAATTTCATACAAATGCTACCTTGCAAGTAACTAGAGTGTTCATTAAGTTGTACAAACCCAGAAGCAGTTTACATACAATTCACTCTTGGCCAAGACAACAAAGCAATACTTTTGATACATAGCATCCAACGCAGATCAATACTCAGTAAAATGCAATTCAGTTCTCCTATCCGTACATTATACAACGTTATCTCGAACTCTGTCTCATGGCCGTTTCGGCGGTACGTACTGTACATGAACATCTTCACATAAATTCTGTATGAACTATTAATTGATATTGCCCTCGGAAATACAGAAGAATATCGACAACATGGTATCTGCATTACAGATTTTATCACTGATATTCGGAAACAACTTATAAGCTGATACCTACATGAAGGAAGATTGAAGGTTCAATTGCCGACTTTCAGGTACAACTCATTTGTGAATTTGTTGCAGATATCATCAAGCTAAACAAAGGAGCAGAGCAGCCTTTTATAGCATAGCAATGGGACCTCAAATCTCATTATCCAAATTTGCCTGCAATGTCATATCCATTCAGTGTTCGATTTTGTTAATAAATGACACCATAACAATTCTCACCGACATACAGGAGATAAATCTTGAAATCAAAAAAAATAGTCCAAGTACATTATCAAGAATATATATTTGTTTGAGCTTAACAATCATTATTATTTGTAGAGAAAAAAAAGATTGAGCAATACATTTTTCGCAACTACAAGATTCCTGGTCCACCTGAAGTCTAAATAGAACAAAAGATTTTACCAAACAAGGGAGAAGAGGCAGTAAGTTGCCTATTTTTGAGAATAAGACAATGACATTTTATACATACTATCAAATCAATATCTCTCATGCAATGTAATCAAGTAAACAAAGAGGAGTTGCACCTGTCCAACGCATCATACTATTAAGAGAGAGTTGGTTCTCATTAAACTTACAATCCGCAGCGAAGAAAATAACAGCAATCAGCCACAAGGTTAAGTTCCACAAAGTTCACAAAAACCCTCATTTTTTCTTTCTGTCGACATAATGCCAAATGATGGTTCAATAAATAATGACAAAGTACAGCTATTACCCTGGCATCATCTCTCTTTTAGAGGTATCCATGAAGAAAACTGAAAGAACAAATAACAAAAAGAATGAGATGTTAATTAATGTACTTACCATCTGCAACATACAACTATCATAGGCTTGTCAACCCTCTTAGCATGCTATGAGTTTCCACATCAAGTGTCAATCCCTTTTGATGCATTTCTTCAGCAAGCCTCGCAGTCTCCTCTTTTCTTTTGCTCTTTGCATACCCAATGATCAACAACTTGTAAGCATAAAATCAGGTGCAAAACCTTGGGGTTCCATTGAATCAAATACATCCTTCGCCTTGTTCATTTCACCGAGCGCACAATACATTCTGATCATTGTCCTGTATGTAAATCCATTAGGCTGCACACCACGTTGCTCCATTACCTTCGGTACTTCACGAGCTTTATCATTTGTTTCTTGTTTGATAATAGCATCCAACAAAATGTTAAAAGTTTCAATATCAGGAACCATATGTTCAGTGACCATCTTACCGAGCAAGCTTGTTGCTTCTTCGCATTGGCCTGATTTGCACAATCCATGTATTAAAGAAGTGTAGGTAACAATGTCAGGTTTAACATTTCTTATACCCATCAGTTCAAACATGGTAATCGCTTCTTCAATCCTCTTTTCCTTGCATAAAGCATTGATTAAAGAATTGAAAGTTACTACATCAGGATGGATTCCTTCATTCATCATTCTATTGAGCAAGCTTGTCGCTTCTGTCCAATTATTTGAACTGCACAATGCATGTATCAAACAATTGTGGGTGACAAAGTCAGGTTTTACATTTCTCTGACTCATTAGTTCCAACATGGAAATGGCTTCTTCTGTTCTCTTTTCCTTGCATAAAGCATTGATTAAAGAATTGAAAGTCACAACATCAGGATGGACACCTTCACTCATCATCCTATCGAGCAAGCTTGTTGCTTCTGTCCATTTATTTGAACTGCACAATCCATGTATCAAACAATTGTAGATGACAACGTTAGGTTTTACATTTCTCTGACTCATTATTTCCAACATGGAAATGGCTTCTTCTGTTCTCTTTTCCTTGCATAAAGCATCGATTAAAGAACTGAAAGTCACTACATCAGGACGGACACTTTCGTTCATCATACTATCGAGCAAGCTTGTTGCTTCTGTCCATTTATTTGAAGTGCACACAATCCACGTATCCAACAATTGTAGGTGGTGACACATTCCAGAATTTCCATAGCCTTCGATGACTTCCCCTCCTTGCATAAAACATCAATCATGGAATTAAAAGTTATAACATCGGGTGAAATTTCATATGAAATCATATTTTTGAAGAATTCTGTGGCCAGTCTCCACTCACCAAACTTGCATAAGGCACGAATTAGCATATTATAAGTGGCAACATCAGGCTCTATGCCCTTTTGGGTCATTAAATAGAACAGAGCTATTGCTTCTTGGATCTTCCCATCCTTGCAAAGTGGAGAAATAAGAGCATTTAAGATATACGCATCAGGAGAAATCCCCTTGTTAACCATGGCAACTAATAAACATTTTGCTTCATCCCATCGGCCAATGCTGCAAAAACCATTGATTAAGGAACTAAAAGTAATAACATCTGGCTCAATTCTCTTATCTAACATATATTGAAAGATAATCAAAGCCTCATCCATGCGTTTCTCTTGACAAAATCCACCAATAATTGTATTATAGCATATCACATCAGGTTCAAAGTTTCCATTTGCAATCATCTTTACCAGCAAAACAACTGCAAAACGAATATTCCCCGAGTTGCAAAGTCCCCTGATAATAATACCATAAGTGTATTGATTACACGGATAATCGTTCTTCAATATTTTCCAAAACAATCCCATTGCCTCCTTAATCTTACCCTCATCAATCAGTCCAAAAAGCGGAGCATTCATGGTATAAGGGTCAGGCTGAAGACCAAGTTTCATAATAATAGCAAACACAGAAAAACATAAGTCCACTTTCTTCAAATTGCACAAACAACGGAGCCAAATGTTCATTGCAATGATATCAGGTTGCAATTCACTACAACCCATCATCTGTTTACACATGGAAACAACGAGTGGATAGTGTTTCATCTTGGAGAGTGCTCCAAGCAGATGGTTGAATGCCACAATCGAGGGCAAGGGTCTCATTGAAATCATGGAATTGAAAAAACCCATAGATTCATCAAGCTCAAAGGATCCTGATTTACACTTATTTATGATCAATATTTCGAGATGTGTGGGTTTAGACATACCCATATTGACATATTTATCAGAAGCAGCAGAATAACTCGAAATGAAACGCATAATGTGCAGTTTAGAAAATGAAAAAGGAAGGGAATTACCAGTGAAAGATAGAATCAGAGGAGGAATTGTGGAGGTTATTCTCTTCATCTTATGTAAGCCTAAGCCTGCCTTCATAGTCGTCGTTCCCAATTTCTTACTTTGCGGCGATAATACGCTGAAGGTAGGGGGTGTAAAAAGTTAACCCGGTCTATAAAACTGACTGAAATCGACTCGAGTTAAATTATTTTTGATCTGTGCTGTGACGATTCGAAACTTACTCGAGTTAGAGTTGGTGTTGATCTGAACCCGAGTTGGACCTGAAAATTGTAGATCTGAGCCTAACCTGAGAACTACCTGAACCCGAATTGAATCGAAAATATGATACTCGAACCCGAACCGCATCTGACTAATATGAACCTGAATCCGATATTGACCTGGTAAATAAATGGTATTACCCGACCTGTTTTCAACCTGACTTGTTATAAACCAGACCTGTAATTAACTCAACATGTAAATGATCTAACATGTTAAAGTAATCTAATATTATTTTGTTTTATAAATAATAAGTTATAATTAATATAATTATGTTATTTTAAATTTATAATAAACTTATGATAATTAAATTTATTTGTTATATTAATTACAATTCTTTATATTTTTTATAATTCTTAAATTATAATTTGTATATTATAACTTTGATTTTTATATTAATTCAAATTCTTTATATTATTTATAATTCTTATATTATAAATTATATTTATAATCACTAAATTAAATTTAAATATTGTCTTATTGAACATGATTTTATTAAATTATATAAATTAAGTTAAAATATTCATAAATCTAATTTACTTTTAATGTGAAAATTGATTAATAATTTAAGCATAACTTAACTCGAAATTTTAAAATAAAAAAATATTAGTTGAAATGATGAACTTATTAAATATTTGAAACTTGAATAACATTACAAATACTAAAACAAAAAGTTTATAATGAAGTTAATTTTATTACACATGCAAATACTAAAATTACAATAAAATCAACTAAACAAAATAAATTTATGTTGGAATAAATGCTCTCAGACCTTATAGTTAAGGTTTTACAAGGTTAAAAGCCTAAATATACTACCAGAAATATCATCATCGAGCCTTTATACCTAAATGCTGCCAACATGTTTAATTATGGGCAACTTTCTAGCTTTAAAAACTAAAATGGCACCAACATAATTCTACATGAGTAACTATTTAGATAAGAATTTATAAGGTTCAAAAATTGATTTAAGTTAGACCAACAACAATAATTTACAAGACATTAGTGAGTAATAGACAACATGTTATGTCCCTACGATAGAATAAGAATAATCGAAGGAAATTGAGGAAATTGAGATTAAAGAAGAGAAGAAAAGGGATTCAAGAAACTGAAAATTCATTCATTCATTTCATGCCTTTAGCCCTACTTATAACATTTCTTATATATTTACATTGTACCAACCATTTACAACTCGCAATACATCTGTCTCTAACAGTTAGATTCCTTGCTGGTGCTGTTGGGTGCTGTTGGCGTGACTTCCTTCACTGCTGGCAGTACCCCTCCCCTTAATTAAAATTCCTAACCTCCTTTTAATTGAAATCCTTAACCCTATTTCGAATTTCCTTAATTCTCCTCCGATTTCTATCTCTCTCATGTTCATGACAATACCCCCTTCATGAAAAGATCCTTGTCCCCAAGGATCAAAACCTAACAATTGTGCCTTAAGCACAATAAAGTTTACCCCAATGACGTTTTCCAACCTTAAGTTCGTCCACTGTAGAAGAGTGATAGCCTGATTGTGCTTCTTGAGGTTAAATACACCTTCATCCAAAAAACTCAAGTTGCCAAACACCTTCCACCAAAAACTATAGATAGCAGTACCATAGACCCTTGCTGCCATCCTTAATCCTTTTCGAAGAGCAAGTGAGGTTTGATGGTAAGACCGAAACTTCAGGTAAATTCTGTCCTCTGTCTTAATACCTTTGTTCGTCAATTTTATTTTAGCAAAAAATTTCAGCCTTGCTTGAGTCTTCTGAAAAAATTTCAGATTCAAAAATTATTTTAGTAACTGATTCTTGTTGCTTTCTTTGTTGACTTCCCATGTAGTTGTGACATTCTCCTTCCCTCGAAATGATCCTTGTGCACTTGCTGCATGAACAAGCATCATTTTCCCGTTTGCATCACCGATGCAATACAAGTTAGGAACCATATTACCACTTGCATCATTTACTCGCATTCTCTCATCAACATGAATAAAACCCCTTTGTGTTACTAGTAATAACAGTCTTCCCATCGACCTCAATGCCCTTGGGAACAAAAGGAACGGAGCCAGTGGCAATGATAATATCTTTTGCAGTTACTATGTTATCAGGAAAACCAACATTCCCATACTTCACCTTTTGAGGACCCACAATAGTACCGACACCAGTCAATATGTCTACTCCCAGTGCCTTCATTGAGTTAGTCAAATTGCTTCGAATTTTTGAAGCAAGGTTATTTGCATGGTCTGCAACTCCCTGTCTGTCATATTCAGCAGCAGAAACCTGCAAACCCAAAGCCTTCATGTGATGCTCACTCTGAAGTTCACGCATCTTACCACTCACAGCTAGGAGAGCTTTCGAATGAACACAACCTCTGTTCACACACGTTCCCCCCATCACATCTCTTTCAATAATTGCAGTTTTCAAACCCTTCTCAATGACATGCAACACAGTTCCATGGCCACCGACGCCAGCACCGATGATAATCAAAAGATTTTGGAGGAGTTCCGTTGTTTTCAGCTGAAGTAGATATTCTCTTGGAATGTACGCGGCTCATGAACCGAACTCGGCTAAAACACGAGTGAGTCAAACCGGAGAACCTGAAGACTTTCTTTCTGAGTCCGCATAAACGGAGATTGATTGGCTTGGAGATAGGTAAACAGAATAATGAGAATCGAATGTGAAATTTGATCTAGGAACTATGGTAGCTTGAGAGCAAATGGAATGTATTTTCAATATTTTCGGATGTTTGGCAGTGAGGAGACGTTGGCAGTAGTATGCATTTGGTGCCTTTTTCTCAGCTTCAACAACTTTGATTGCCTTCTGATTTTTCTCAGTAAGAACATGTCCTGTTGGTTTGCCTGGATTTATTACAACCAAGGCCCTAACGGTGCTGCCCTTGGACCTGGAAGTTTCAAGTTATTTCTTAAGCTCAGAGACTTCCAAACCCCATCCTGTGGCTTCATCAAGATAGTATGGAATCTCCACAGCAATAAAACCACTGCCCTTTCCAATTATCTTCTCGACCTCTACTCGTACATCTTTAAGATTGATTCCCATTAGTAATAATCTAAACTTGTAAGGGTCATCATCTTGTACAAGTTTATCTCTCCCAATTTTGACAGGATTGAACTTACACCTATCTGCACCTTCACTCACTTGGCTAGTGTTTTCAGCAGTTGTGGTTTCATCATTCTTAAATGCAAGTTTCAATTTGGCTAAACCTATCATGTTTGTATCAGGGCGGATACCATCATCCTCTGAAATTATGATTGCCTTCTCTTCTCCAGTTTTAAGACTCACAATCTTTGTGGCTACAGGAATAATTTCTTTTTTGAATTTACCAGATGTTGTTGCAGCAGCTGCCCGCCGATGTGATTCAACAGCGGCCTAGTCTTGCTCTTGTCATGTGATACCATAGCATTGTGCAACGTTTTCAGAAGTAATGCCCATAGGAAGAAGACAATCCCGGGCTTGGGCAAAGCTATCCGTCTTTGGGTTAGCATCCTCTAACCCAGAAACTAAACCATCCATTGTCATGCTCTCCAATCTAATACCAATGCCGATATCATAAAATCCTGCTTTTATGGAAGCAGCAACATCGATAACTGCTTGTAGGCCCGATGAACATTGTCTGTTGACAGTTCTAATAGGCACTGTATCGGGGAACCCAACATAGAATGTTGTCATCCTACACTGTGTTGCTCTGGGTGTAGCACTAGCCAACACTGAACCGACAACAATATCCCCTACTTCACTTGGGTTCACCTTTATTCTATCAATCAAAGCCTTCAAAACAGGGGCAAGCAAATCATCTGTAGGTTTATCCTTAAAGCCTCCACACTTTGACTTACAAATTAGAGTGCGGCATGCCGTCACAATCACAATATCATCCCCAAAAGCAGTGTTATTCCTAGCTGAACAAATTGATGGCTTTGATGTTGGTAATTTATCGAACACCTGAGAATCATCATGTTTTTGCTCACACTTTTTACCAGTCAGAATCTGTAACATGTGCTCCACATCTCTCTGCTACAATGCCATTTTTGATTCCAACATACTCAACCGACTGTCCTACTTCTGCCACCATTTAGGAGGGGTTGATTTAGCCGTTGTATGCTTTATCATCTTGGTGAGATCGTCAAGTTGCCTTTGAATCGAAGAAAGATTAATGGAGTCTGCCATGCCTTGATTTTTTTTTTTTTTTGCTTCAAGCTGGCAGGAAATGGTGGATCTGAATACCAATTATTATGTCCCTACAATAGAAGAAGAATAATCGAAGGAAATTGAGGAAATGAAGATTAAAGAAGAGAAGAAAAGGGATTCAAGAAACTGAAAATTCATTCATTCATTTCATGCCTTTAGCCCTACCTATAACATTGCTTATATATTTACATTGTACCAACCATTTACAGCTAGTAATACATCTGTCTCTAACAATTAGATTCCTTGCTGGTGATGTTGGGTATTGTTGGCGCGACTTCCTTCAGTGCTGGCAGTACCACTCCCCTTAATTGAAATCCCTAACCTCTCTTTAATTAAAATCCCTAACCCTATTTCCAATTTCCCTAATTCTCCTCCGTCTTCTCCGATTTCTATCTCTCTTATGATCATGACAGAACCGACAAGCATCAATGTACCAATTCAGCAAGCATCATTGCATCAATTCAGCAAGCATCCTGTATTAAGAAAGCATACAGTCAGTGATAAAGTCAAAGGGAATTTGATGGCCAACAGTGCCAAATATTTCCGACTTTACCAAACCCTTACAATTCAAACATAAAGCCTACATTGAGATTCAACAAATAAGAACCACATAGGATATTGAGAAGCAGCTAGAAACATACTCGAGATTAAGGACTAAAAGAGCTCACATCTAAGCCAGAACAACCCCACAAGCTGAGTTTCTTTAGTCGGTTGTGTTTGATGATAAGCTTTTGGTACATAAGGTGCAGTTTATTGTTCAATACATTTGAAACTTCACTGTCATAATTTTGATAGAAGGTGGATTCTGAGAATCAGGATCGCATATTGTCATCCCACAATCCATAAGTTCAAGAAGAGGTAGTTGAGCCGTGGCAAACTGAATTCCACCTGAGAAATGCAGAGAAACATGTTAGTGAATAGGTTTAGAGAAGAATAGGTTTAGAGAAACATCTTGTACATCATTGAATTCAAGACCAATATAACCACTTCCTAAAATCGAAATCTAATCATGAACAAACTCCAATTTTAGGGCATGGTCACTAGTAATAACAGTCTTCCCATCGACCTCAATGCCCTTGGGAACAAAAGGAACGGAGCCAGTGGCAATGATAATATCTTTTGCAGTTACTATGTTATCAGGAAAACCAACCTTCCCATACTTCACCTTTTGAGGACCCACAATAGTACCGACACCAGTCAATATGTCTACTCCCAGTGCCTTCATTGAGTTAGTCAAATTGCTTCGAATTTTTGAAGCAAGGTTATTTGCATGGTCTGCAACTCCCTGTCTGTCATATTCAGCAACAGAAACCTGCAAACCCAAAGCCTTCATGTGATGCTCACTCTGAAGTTCACGCATCTTACCACTCACAGCTAGGAGAGCTTTCGAATGAACACAACCTCTGTTCACACACGTTCCCCCCATCACATCTCTTTCAATAATTGCAGTTTTCAAACCCTTCTCAATGACATGCAACACAGTTCCATGGCCACCGACGCCAGCGCCGATGATAATCAAAAGATTTTGGAGGAGTTCCGTTGTTTTCAGCTGAAGTAGATATTCTCTTGGAATGTACGTGGCTCATGAACCGAACTCGGCTAAAACACGAGTGAGTCAAACCGGAGAACCCGAAGACTTTCTTTCTGAGTCCGCATAAACGGAGATTGATTGGCTTGGAGATAGGTAAACAGAATAATGAGAATCGAATGTGAAATTTGATCTAGGAACTATGGTAGCTTGAGAGCAAATGGAATGTATTTTCAATATTTTCGGATGTTTGGCAGTGAGGAGACGTTGGCAGTAGTATGCATTTGGTGCCTTTTTCTCAGCTTCAACAACTTTGATTGCCTTCTGATTTTTCTCAGTAAGAACATGTCCTGTTGGTTTGCCTGGATTTATTACAACCAAGGCCCTAACGGTGCTGCCCTTGGACCTGGAAGTTTCAAGTTATTTCTTAAGCTCAGAGACTTCCAAACCCCATCATGTGGCTTCATCAAGATAGTATGGAATCTCCACAGCAATAAAACCACTGCCCTTTCCAATTATCTTCTCGACCTCTACTCGTACATCTTTAAGATTGATTCCCATTAGTAATAATCTAAACTTGTAAGGGTCATCATCTTGTACAAGTTTATCTCTCCCAATTTTGACAGGATTGAACTTACACCTATCTGCACCTTCACTCACTTGGCTAGTGTTTTCAGCAGTTATGGTTTCATCATTCTTAAATGCAAGTTTCAATTTGGCTAAACCTATCATGTTTGTATCAGGGCGGATACCATCATCCTCTGAAATTATGATTGCCTTCTCTTCTCCAGTTTTAAGACTCACAATCTTTGTGGCTACAGGAATAATTTCTTTTTTGAATTTACCAGATGTTGTTGCAGCAGCTGCCCGCCGATGTGATTCAACAGCGGCCTAGTCTTGCTCTTGTCATGTGATACCATAGCATTGTGCAACGTTTTCAGAAGTAATGCCCATAGGAAGAAGACAATCCCGGGCTTGGGAAAAGCTATCCGTCTTTGGGTTAGCTTCCTCTAACCCAGAAACTAAACCATCCATTGTCATGCTCTCCAATCTAATACCAATGCCGATATCATAAAATCCTGCTTTTATGGAAGCAGCAACATCGATAACTACTTGTAGGCCCGATGAACATTGTCTGTTGACAGTTCTAATAGGCACTGTATCGGGGAACCCAACATAGAATGTTGTCATCCTACACTGTGTTGCTCTGGGTGTAGCACTAGCCAACACTGAACCGACAACAATATCCCCTACTTCACTTGGGTTCACCTTTATTCTATCAATCAAAGCCTTCAAAACAGGGGCAAGCAAATCATCTGTAGGTTTATCCTTAAAGCCTCCACACTTTGACTTACAAATTAGAGTGCGGCATGCCGTCACAATCACAATATCATCCCCAAAAGCAGTGTTGTTCCTAGCTGAACAAATTGATGGCTTTGATGTTGGCAATTTATCGAACACCTGAGAATCATCATGTTTTTGCTCACACTTTTTACCAGTCAGAATCTGTAACATGTGCTCCACATCTCTCTGCTGCAATGCCATTTTTGATTCCAACATACTCAACCGACTGTCCTACTTCTGCCACCATTTAGGAGGGGTTGATTTAGCCGTTGTATGCTTTATCATCTTGGTGAGATCGTCAAGTTGCCTTTGAATCGAAGAAAGATTAATGGAGTCTGCCATGCCTTGATTTTTTTTTTTTGCTTCAAGCTGGCAGGAAATGGTGGCTCTGAATACCAATTATTATGTCCCTACAATAGAAGAAGAATAATCGAAGGAAATTGAGGAAATGGAGATTAAAGAAGAGAAGAAAAGGGATTCAAGAAACTGAAAATTCATTCATTCATTTCATGCCTTTAGCCCTACCTATAACATTGCTTATATATTTACATTGTACCAACCATTTACAGCTAGTAATACATCTGTCTCTAACAATTAGATTCCTTGCTGGTGATGTTGGGTATTGTTGGCGCGACTTCCTTCAGTGCTGGCAGTACCACTCCCCTTAATTGAAATCCCTAACCTCTCTTTAATTAAAATCCCTAACCCTATTTCCAATTTCCCTAATTCTCCTCCGTCTTCTCCGATTTCTATCTCTCTTATGATCATGACAGAACCGACAAGCATCAATGTACCAATTCAGCAAGCATCATTGCATCAATTCAGCAAGCATCCTGTATTAAGAAAGCATACAGTCAGTGATAAAGTCAAAGGGAATTTGATGGCCAACAGTGCCAAATATTTCCGACTTTACCAAACCCTTACAATTCAAACATAAAGCCTACATTGAGATTCAACAAATAAGAACCACATAGGATATTGAGAAGCAGCTAGAAACATACTCGAGATTAAGGACTAAAAGAGCTCACATCTAAGCCAGAACAACCCCACAAGCTGAGTTTCTTTAGTCGGTTGTGTTTGATGATAAGCTTTTGGTACATAAGGTGCAGTTTATTGTTCAATACATTTGAAACTTCACTGTCATAATTTTGATAGAAGGTGGATTCTGAGAATCAGGATCGCATATTATCATCCCACAATCCATAAGTTCAAGAAGAGGTAGTTGAGCCGTGGCAAACTGAATTCCACCTGAGAAATGCAGAGAAACATGTTAGTGAATAGGTTTAGAGAATAATAGGGCATTTACAGGATAAATGTAGGTATGCACAAGACGTATGTGTGAGTCTTAGACATGATGATTACTTAAAGTTATGTTGGGACAAAGAACAAGGAGGAGTCTTGACAATGTGTTTGGGAAAACATTGCAGATCATTCCAATGCCACTATCACTGATGCTAGACCTGAAATGAAGTAGCAAGCATCATGATTTAGTATTTCAGTAGGAACAAGCAGAGGATACCAATAATCACACAGTTAGAATTCATCAAGGGCCAAGGAGTATGAAATATTTAATACTCTACTAAACAATATTAAGAATATTCAAAATACATCATAAGTGCCTTCTCATATTTGACATTTTGAAATTTAATAAATTTAACTATTAATTTAATGCAGCCAACTAATAACGTAAGGCAATGAAAGTATCAGTTTTCAATTTAAGATGTTGAAATTTATCAAAGCAATCATCCCTTTTATCTTCAAACTAATTGCGTACTCCTTTATAATATGTGCCATTTTATACACAAGAAAATATGAACTATATATACACAGTAAAAAAAAGGTAAAATAATCTATAGAGGTTAATAAATATGAAAAGAACAAAAACTAGCCTAACAGTTAAATCTGTCTTCCTCTTTAATGGAATTCTTGCAATGAGCAATGACAGCTTGAATTGTAGCCTGTAACTCTTCCATGGTGCTGTTACTGGATGAAGAAAGTAGCCCGTGGTTGCAACAAGAAGACCTCTGCTTGATGAATTCTTCTCCTATATGTTTTTGATATTTAGATAATTCCTCCCTACTAGTTGCCTTCCATTCTAGAAACTCCGGTTATGCAAACGCAAATATATACATATCATGAACATTCGCATCACATATTAATAAAAGACTATATACAAGATTTACACAACCCTAATGCTCGAAGCCCCTCTTTTCACCGAGTGTAACCATGTTTTTTTTCCAATTCAAAGTCTACTTTCCCTCAAGTTTTGAGTGCAAAAATTTCAAATTCTGATTCAAGCATTTCAAGGAAAATTTTGTCCATATTAGTTTCCTCCTAGAAGAGGAAACAAAAAACAGGTCAAAAAGTGATGTGAGGAAGATGATTGTTAATGTTTCCAATGATTGGGATGAAAAGCAAATAAATAGGGGAACAACCTGTGGTAGAAACTGAACTATATTGATAATCACAATCATCTTGGTTAAGTGAAATTTTTCGAAGAGCAGCATTTCCTCTATCGATAACTATCAAGTAATAAGGAACAGATCGGTCAAACATATACCACATCAAAATCATTTGAGAACTTTGCATCCTCACTAGGCCCATCCCTATATTGTTGAAAACATTTTGATGTTTTGATATAACAAATTAAGTTAAATGAATTTTAAGATTTTACAAAAGATTTTCTAAGTATATTCGATATAATTATCCGAATATCAAAATATTACTCCAAGTCTTTCAAAGTTCATTTTAATCCTTAGTAAAGTGTAAAATTGTGTTTTATACTTAAACTATTTTTAAAACAATTTTACAAAGTATTTCGAACCGTTTCAAAGCCAAGAAAAATCAGATTGTCCAGGGGGTACAGATTCCCCCTGCAGGTTTTTGGCTCCGAGAAAACAGAATGTCCAGGGGGTACAGATTCCCCTCCAGGGGGTACCGATTCCCCCCAGGGGAACAGATTCCCCCCAGGGGAACAGATTCCCCCCAGTGGGTACCTATTCCCCTTGTTTAACGGTCGAAATCATATTGTACTTAGGGAACCGATTCCCTATGAGGGGGTACCGATTCCCCCACGCTCCAAGCTATCTCCAAAACATCCCCAACGGCTATATACGACTTCAAACACATTCCAAGCTATAAATACAAGCTAAGGACACTTGAAGAAGTAAGAGAACAACCATCCAAGTAATCAAACACAAGAGAAGAGTTTTTCATTCTTATTTCATCTTTCTCTTGTAAATATTTTGTTCTTGTGAGCTTAATTCTTGTAAACACCTACCTTAGAGAGGTTTTCTTGTTTATATTTCTTATCTTTTTGTAAATGGGAAATGTTCTAGCTAATCCCGTGTAAAAGCTAGGGAAAGATTCTAGTTTAGCTTGAAAAAACTAGGGAGTTGTAAGGTTATCTCTTTGTCCTCAAAAGAAAGAACAAATTAGTGAATTTGTTGGAAAATCCTTGGTAAGGAGCTAGGGTAATGGATGTAGACTTTGGTTGAGAAAGTCAAACCACTATAAATCGCTTGCAATTCTGTATCTTTCAATCTCCTTACTCCCTAAACACAAAACCGTTCCGACCCCTCTTTGTAAACCATTATGGTTGTCGATTCGAGCTTCTGAAAATCCCAACAATTGGCATCAGAGCCTAACTCGTTAAGAAGGTTTAACCACCTTGAGACGATCTTAGAAGAAGCTCTACCAATTCCCGACACAACTGAGAAAATGGCTTCAACCTCCGGCTCGTTCCACATGGAAGACTCCCTACCAACGGACAAGCCTCCATACTTCAATGGAGTCAACTATCATCATTGGAAGAAATTAATGAAGGTATTCATCCAATCCAATGATCTTGATGCATGGGAGATAATCGAGAATGACTACTCTTCTCCAAAGAAGAATGAGAAGAAGAGGAGTGACAAAGAACGGAAGAAAGCTCAACTTAATGCCAATTCCATGAACAAGTTGTTTTATGCATTTGGTCATGAAATCTATGAAGGGGTTTCTTCATGTTCAAGTGCCAAGAAGCTTTGGAATAAGCTTGAGGAAATCCATGGAAACAAGAAAGAAGAACCAACAAAAGTGGTGTCTTTAATGGCTCGTAAAGAGCCGGAG